ATAAATGAATAAATAAATCACTTTTGGAATTATTTTAATTCAATTTTTACCAAACGTGAAACAGAAAGTGAGTGAAAATACAAATGGTTTTACAAAGCACCTTAGGCTTCCGTCTTGTGTTTCTGAAAACAAAAGGCTTATAATACAGGCATGAATGAAAAAATAAATATTCCAAGAATATATCTCACTAAAATCTCACAAAAAAGGTGTGGATACCATAGATGAGAAAACCACAAAACATTCTTGCAGCCATAGAACTTGCAGATGGATGATGGCTATATTTTATAAAATTATGGACTTTGTAGTGTCAACTGATTCCATTTCAGCAACTTCTTACCAAATTCTTTTCATGAAAAGAAGCTTGAAGGTGGATTAGTCGAAAAATATATGCGCCCCGAAGATTGCAGAAGCAAAGTATTCCATGGAACTCATATACAGGGCGTTCCAATGAAAACTTGACCTCTCGACGAAATTTTGACCCCCCCTGTAAGTCAGAAACAGACGTGTAATCGAAAATTACACATGAACATGTCAATTTTCATTTCTAGAGGGACTAATTCTGATATGAAAATCATACCCTACCCTTCACCCCCCTGCGGTCAGCAACTACCTCCTCTATTTTTTTAATGGCATGTGGGGGTCGATAAATACATCATTTGAAAGGTATTTTGTCCTTCTATTACCTCTGTGATTTTTCACGAAATTTGTTAATTCGTTATTGAAAAATTAAATGTTGCACGTTTCATTTAAAAAACAACTGAAAATTCGCTGCCGATCATTTTAATAAGGAAATCAACAACAAATAATATCAGTGGAAACAAAATCAACGGATAAATTGTTCAAAATGACCTCCACCTAGTTCCATTCAATAATACAGTCTACTCTCGAAAGCGTTCCGTACATTATTGAAGATGTCCGGAGTCATAAATCGGCATTCCCGAACAATTCTCTGTCGCATGTCTTCTATATTTGTAGGCTTAGTATTAGTCTAATCAACAAGTTCAAAAACATGAAAAATAGAGATAAAGGTCCTAAAAATATGAGCGATAGCTCATTCGACTCGGAATCACCCCTAGAAAAATATTTTTGAAGGATTTTGGTGCAGGTAAAAAAATTTCTGTTGTGAACAGAACCTGAAGTTCGAAACTTATTCATTAATTGTTTAACGTATTGATGGCTCACGTTGTGGTCTGGATGATTCGTATTATAAATTCTTGTAGCAGCTTTAGCACATTCATTATTTTTATAATAGGTTGCAACAATTTCTATTCTTTCTTCAGTAGAATGAATCATGTTGGAACACAGTGAACAAGCATGGCTGAATAATAATTCATGAAAAAGTTACATTGACCAACTATCTACTTTTTGTTCTGCGACAACTAGATTCAACAAAAACTACCAGTGCAGATAAGACTAACAGTGTCGTCTATTTCAAAACGTTTACTACTAATTGAATAAATTCTACAAACCTAGAAGTCCTGCGACAGAGAATTGTTCGGGAATGCCAATTTCTGACTCCCGACATCTTCAATAATGTAAGGAACGCTTTCGAAAGTAGACTGTATTATTGTATGGAACTAGATGGAGGTCATTATGGATACTTTATCCGTTGATTGTGTTGCCATTGATATTACTTCTGTAGATTTTCTCAATAAAATGAGTTACAGCAACTTTTATGGTTTTTTTTTGGTAAAACCTTCAACATTTATTTTCTCAATAAGGAATGAACCAATTTTCAAATAAAAATACAGAAGTAATAGAGGGACAAAAGACCTTTGAAATGATGTATCATTTGACCACCATGCCATTGAAAAAAATAATGGGGGTAGTTGCTGACCGCAGTAAAGTTTCGGGTATGATCTCCATATCAGAATCATCCCCCTTCTCCTTTGAATTTTTCGATTACACGTCCGTTTCTGACTTACAAGAGGGGAGGTCAAGTTTTCGTTGGAACGCCCTGTATTTGATTACTAAAATGCTAAAATTAGAGAAAATATCCAATGAGTCAGAGGAAAACAAATAGTAATTTGAAAATATTGTTATATTTGTCCTTCACAGAAAAGAAGTAAAACATGCTACCTATGTATATATTGTGTAACTGCCACTAATGATAGTTGTCTTTTAAATTCTTATACATCCTTTTTACTATCGTTAATTTTACAAGTTTTATTTAATATCTGTATATTATACCTGTGTTTTACCAAAATTTCAAAATTGTATTGTACCTGTTATGGGAAGCAAGTACTTTTGCACTTATGGCCTTTTTTCTTTATTCACCTATTATTATTATTATTATGTTGTGTGAAACCTTTCAAAATAATAAATAAAGCCATTATTATTATTATTTATACGAGTAAAATATAAAAAAAACAAGTTTGTCTTCAGTGAATGAGGAAGAGTGCAGAATGAAAAAGAACAGGGATCACGCTGGACAGAAACAACAGAGACACGTAGAAACAGAACATGAAACTGTGAAGGGACAAATCTTCATTTACAGTTACCCACTTGATAAGTACACAATAGTCTTGCAGACTGGAGTGCATGCAATTTTACAATGCCTAAGGAACACTAATTTGAGGCCTCAGCAAAATGAATAGATCAACATTTCTACAGACAACCAGGCTGCATTTGGGACAAGGACAAAACTAAAAGTGACATCGAGACTGGTCTGGGAATACTATGAAGAACTGTGGAAGCTGGCGAAAAGGAACAGTTTGACTATATACTTGGTGCCAGGACAATCGGCAATCATAGGCAACGAAAAAGCTGATGAGTGTTCCAGACACGGATCATCAACTCCTTATGTAGCTGTGTGGGTACCACTGTCTTTGGTACGGAACCAGATTCTGAAGTTGGTCTATAAAAAACCTTTATAATGGGACCGTCTTAGAAGAGAACTGACAAACTGCTTCAGCAAAACAGGGATCGGCTTTGCCGAAGCTGGACACTGTCCGTTGGGAGGGCATCTGAACAATATAGGGCTGTACAGCAGAGACTTTAACTGCAGGTAATGCAACAAAGGGACAGAGACAGTTCGTCGTATTACTTGCGAATGTGAGGCATTGTATCACAGGAGTCAAACAATTTATTGGCAACCAAAATTATGCCAATAAGAATATGATAAAATTTTTAAGGCTTTCCGCCCGAGGTTTTCTGTATCACTATTTTTCGGGTTCGAAGGCCGTCGATTTTTGGAATTTCTTCCTGACGTTTCGCTGCCGCGAGTTGCTAGCTTCTTCAGAGGTTTATACATTCGAAATTATCTCCGACGACTGGATATTACGACTGCGTATCACGCATTTATTATGTCGACACAGATTGGTGTGTACCTTGATAAGGTGAATTGCGAAAAGCATGTTCATGTTGACTCAGGTAGTTTGGTACCTGTACCTGGAATAGGTAAATTGTCAATAACATTCGTCGACCTTTTTTTACCTGTCGTCATACCCTTTGCTATTCTTGAACTTCCTAGAATGGGATTCCATATTCGGTTGACTGTCACAGCTTCTTATTTTCTGTTGAAATTATCCGTGTGTTTGTGGTCTCTATTACCTCCCGTACCAGTCGGCTATGGTATCCCTGGTCGGGGTCAATGAGATTCGTATTTTCAAACAGAATCCTGTGATTCTCTTTACTGAGTGCGTGCTCCGCCACAGCCAACATGTCCGTTTGTCCTAGTGTGAAGTTTCTTTCATGCTCCTTCAGCCTTATTTCCATGGATCATTTAGTGGTCCCGATGTATACCGTTCCACAACTACACGGTATGCGGTATACCCCTGCTGCTGATAGTGGGTATTCCTTGTCTTTAGCCGACCTGAAACTTTGATGTATCTTCTTGATGGGTTTGAAAACGTTTTATTGTTGCGATTCCTCAAGAATTTTCCAATTCTGTCTAAGACCCTAGGAATATATCCTATTTACGCGCATGTAATCATCCAAGCCCCCTCTCAGTTATGAACCCTGGAACTTTTCTGTTTCATGGCCTTGTTGATATCAGGAGCACTATCCATTCCATCCCAAGGTCACTAGAAGACTTTTTAGTTTTTCCTCCAGATGCTCTGGTTCAGAGCCTTTTCAGTTAGAGAAGAAATGACTGGATGGTGGTTTGATAGTGCGTGCAGGTATCTATCCGTGTGCTTGGGTTTTCGGTACACTTTGTGGGTTAGTATAGCACCACATCGTTTGTTGAGTACATCTAGGAATGCTATCCACTGGTCCTGTTCATAATCCATGGTGAAGTTGATACTGTAGTGTTGAGCATTCAAGTGGTCTAGAAAAAGATTTAGAGCATCCCTTCCATGTTTCCAGATGAAAAAGGTGTCATCCACGCAACGTAGCCACAAGGTCGGTTTCAATTCAAAGATGATGATCGCTTTCTCTTCAAAACGTTTCCTACCACCACGCCATCTAGTTTCTCATAGAAGTTACCCCTCTATTGAAAGAAACTCATCGTGAGACCTTCTCTAAAGAGTCCGACGATACTATTGAGAAACAAGTAGACTGGTCTCAAAGTTTTCCAGTGGTACATTGGTAAACAAGGATCCAACATCGAAGCTGACCATGACATGAATATTACATGCATCCAGCAAGGAACCTTACAAAAAAAGTACAGGGCACAATATTGTTGGAATGTTTTCCGAAGACTTGAGAGAAATAGCAGACGGATCCTGATTAGTAAAGAAAAACGAACATAGGCACCTTTAACACATTTGAACTACTCTCTTTCTCTTAGTGTTCATGAACTGCATACAAAAGAAGTTGGGAAGTTAGAGTTAGGGAGTTGGAAGGAAACGAAGGAAGTGTTTTTGGTGAAAAATATTCAGAATTCTATAATTCTTTTCCTAAATTCTGTACGCAAATGATTATTTTTTTACTCGAAACTAGTCGTTATTTGAATTTAGAATACATCTTCGGAATAACTTTAGATGTAATATGTAAATAAATAATAACTGATTCAGACCGTAATTTTTTATCCTCTGACCAAGTGTTTTATTTTTCAGCTGTGGACCTAGATTTGTGCACGAGCAGCGTTCAAGATGCCTTCGTTATTGCCGTGGAACAGCAAGCTCGGGAACGTCTGGAGAGGCTGTCCGCGCTCAAACGGATTACGCCCGTCGAGATAGACAAACTCTCACACCAAGTAAGTATCTCGATATCAGTATCTCTGCAGAAACTCATTCCGGTGAGAGCTCTCTAGTGTCCCAGTATAGGATTTTAGTTATAAGAAATGCGGGGAAATCTTCCAAAGTAAAAGAAGTTATTGAATAGACGTTCGTGTGACACAGAATGTGTGATACAGAATGGATTTGAAAAGATATTTTTTGTGGGGGAGTTGATGTTTCTTGATAACGGGCAAAGTGAAAAGTTTATATCAAAAAGTTGCTGCGTAATATAGGGGCTTCCGAACTTTGACAATTGATGACGGCCATGTTGTACAATTAGTTGTCATTTATTCAATTTATTTTGCAGAATCACCATGAACTGATACAGCATTAAACAACACGTGCAAATAATAAATTTGTTTTATCAAAATAGGTGTTCTTTTAGGGCATCGTACTGCGCGCTTGGCCCATTTAACTATGGCCATAATCGTCCTACCGAGAGGACCTTTCGCAATGTGGTGGATACATTTGAGTCCACTGGTTCAGTGAACAACAAACCAACACCAGTACGTCGACGAAACGCAAGATATGCCGAAAATATCACCGCTGTCTGTGAGAGTATGCTATAGAATCCGAGGTAGTCGATTTAGCGTCGCTTACAAGAAATCAGCCTTTCACAGACCACAACTTGGCGAATTTCGCGTCGTGACTTGGACCTACACACTTAAAAATTTCAACTGAAGATAGACGACCATAAACAACGACGTGTGTTAGCTGGATGGGCTCTGGAATAGTTGGCGATTAACCTTAATAAATCGTCTTTTGCGATGAGGCCCATTTCTGGATGAATGGGGTTAGGTTAGGTTAGGTCCAAAGTGAGTGGGTCTATTCGACCCTCTCCCGCAACCTGTAAGGGTTTATTGTGGTTCACAGCTATTTACACTCGACCAAATAAACCCAGCTCCTTAACGAAGTCGATTAGTTTGTATGGTGAGATCTTTCAGGTCAGATGGTAAGAGTACGGCTCTGCCGAATTCTCAAAACCTGATTCGGTCCCCAGCGGGGCAGGCATAAAGTATATGATCTTCTGTTTCATCGTTAATGAGTCGGATAGTCAAGGTGCAATATTCCCACCTTGATACCCGCGACAACCTTCCCATATGAGGATTTTTGCACGTCAGCTACACCTGATGATGCATTAGATTCAACCGTGCAGGTCTTTTTCGCCTCTGGTTTTGGTGAATGATCACTCGAGCGCAAACGTTTGCTAGCCTTCTCATGGGGCTTTGTTCTTCCACCTGAGACAGATTCTGCGTACGCCGCTCAAGAATTTGGTGCAAGGCGGTTTCATAAGGTACTCCGCTCTTGAGGAGGCGACTCAGTCGTTTCCTGGCTGCACCACCAAAGGGAGGTCAGTTGGAGTCGTAAGCTCGACATCCATCTCCTCTGTAGACTCAGCATCAGAAAGAAAGTATTTGAATTTACTCTGTCCATAAAAGTCCCACGAGTAGCTAGGGAAAGAAGGTCAATAACGGCAGAACCCCGCAAAAACGAATTGCACGCTATTTGTGTAACAAAAATAGAAGATAGTACACTCATCAAATTGCTATACAGTATACCAGGATTATGTTGGAAATGCGCCAACTGTTCGAAGAACTGCATTCTTATTGACCCGTTCGGCATACAAAATGTGTCCAAGGTGAATATTGCTCTTTTTTCTCTGAAGGTAGAAATAGACGCACTTAGAGCAGATATAGCAAGAGCTGCACATGAAACTGAAGCTGCATCTCATATGCCTCTGAAGTACTCTGATGTTCTCAAAGACAGATCTCAACCTGCGGTGATCATTCATCCCAAGAACAATGAGCAATCAGTCTCGCGAACAAAGTCGGATATTTTGTGCGCTATCAATCCGGCAGCAAAAAACTTAGAGATCGCTAGAGTAAAACCTGTACAAGATGGCGGTGTGCTCATTGGATGCAAGAACCCGTCGGACAATGAAATACTTGAGCAAGTGGTACAAGAAAAAATGGCTGCTTCTTATAATGTTAAGAACCTTGATGGATTTCTGCCCAGGGTGCTAGTAGTTGGAATGACGGAGAACTTTTCATCAGAAGAACTGCAGAATTATCTTCTGAAATGTAATCGTGACATATTTCTAGATGACTCGATTTGTACAATACTAAAAATATCCCAAACAAAGAAAAAAGTAGGAATCTGACAAGTACTTGTAGAAGTAGACAAATTTACTTACGATCGCGCTCTGAAAGCAGGTAATGTTTTTGTTGCTTATGATAGTTGCGTGATTTACGATGCTACTGATATAAATCGCTGCTTCAATTGCAACGAATACAATCATTCATCTCGAAACTGCAAAAAACCTATTTCTTGCCCAATTTGCGGTGGAAATCATGACCTCAAACAATGTAAATCCCAAGCGAAGAAATGTTCTAACAGTTGTAGTTTAATGAATAATACTTCCGCTGTTGATCATTTGGTCTGGGAGAAAGAGAAATGTACGGCTTACACTGATAGCTTACGAAAATTCAAAAATAACTTGTTTCTCTCAAAGTAGCAATCAGAAACAAGTTCTCCCTCACCCCCCGTAAGTAAAACTGATTCACAAACAAGGTCGCAAGGTCTATGAAACGTGATAAGTTGTATATAGCTTATCAAAATACGAGAGGGCTACGAACAAAAACTAGACAAGTTTTTGATGCAGCCTCGATGGATGAGAATAAAGTTTTTATGTTGACGGGAACCTGACTTGACTCATCCATCGATAACTTGGAACTTTTTCCTGGTAATTTTAAAATATACAGGGTGTTGAACACATGCTAATATTTAAGGAGGTAATTCTTAGACCCATTTTAAGAAAAAAACTTCCTATGGACGTATGTCCTAAACGCCAAAACTTTTGAGATACAGGGTGGCAAAGTTTTCAAAAATAATCAGTTTTTTAATAATAACTGAGATAATTTTGTAGACATCTTTGGCATATTTGGTACATATGTTCCATGCCTCAAG